AGGGAAGAGAGCCGAACAGGCCAACAGGACGCAGGACACCAGGAAGATGTTCCTCAAGACTGAACAGGAAAGAAGAGAAGATGTAACATTCAGGAGGCTCTATTGGCAGAAATATTATATTATATTAGTGTAAAATCAATGAGACCAGATCTTGTAAGAAGATTTGACTACTGACACTTCCGATACATGTTGAATGATGTGTTTCAATATTTTCTGCCAATAGCATTTCATGAAGGACAACCTTTGTGTGTCCTGCAGGGTCGTAGAAACCACTGACGACACCTTGAAATGCTTCTGTGAGTTTGAGCTTTTTATTAACCTTCATCCATTTTACATCCAGTGCAAACACTTAAAGCTGGACTCCAATATTTATCCATTTATTTAAAACTATAATATTCAGCATTCCAACATTAAAATGTCTATAAACGGTAAAATAAGTGTTATATATGTAGTTGAGTTATGTGCTTTACTACTTTATTATCCCAAATGTTTCCAACAGTGTTCAAACTCAAACTCCCATGATCCCACGCTGCATTCAGGACGTCACTGAGCTTTGTCTTTTGTTGTTGTTTTGATGTGAGAGTCTATTTAGCAACATATTGTACGTTCAACCACTTTCAAGACAACGATAAATAAAATGATTCAGGATTTCTCGACTTTAAAAACAGCATTTCAACTTTAAATATTAAAACACTTCCTGAAAATAGTTTTTTTCTTAACCGATTGTGGCCGGGTTGAGAAAACAAAAACATCTTAAAAACAAAAACTTTGTGTCAGCAGTTCTTCGTTCTCGCCGCTCTGTGAGGTTTTGATGACTTGGCGGGTTCAGCAGCACAGAACGCACTGCCACCTTTCAACCCGTTCAACTTCCTCTATTTCCTGTCTGTCGGAGCAGCTCATCATGAAATTCCGCTGATTTCCTTTTTAGGGAGACTTTCACAGACCGAGGGCAGAGATACTGTACCAGGAAGTGTCTGATCAGCAAACTCAACAACTGACCTCTGATTGGTGTTTTCTGGGTTCCAGCAGGTCAACGGACCAATCGGGAAGAATCTCAGCTTTAATGTGAGGAAAGAAACTAATAAACTGATTAAATCACCCGAAACAGTTTCCTGTTTTGTCCCGCTTATTTGTTGGCAGCATATTTTTGTTAAAATAAGATAAATTAGACTTTATTAATCCCGTTTACTCACTACAGCAGCTCCAGATTAAAATAGACATTAAATTAAATAGAAAAATACAAGATAAAATGAAAATAGAAACACTATACACAGATTGTTATATGCAGATGTGACTGATAAGGAATTAAACTATTTACTATTTTGAAGTACTCAACTCACTTTAATGAAAACAATCAGCTCATGTAATATTCTCTATCACTATGTGAATTTTGATTTATGATGCAGATTTAAATGTAAAAGTATAGAGGATTTCACTGACAGGTCTATAATTTATTCTGTGAGTGCTGTCTTGTATAAAATGGCATCTCAGTGCCTCCATATAAAGTTACTTCAGGTCTTCAGGTTGGGTTCGGAAATATTGAACCCAACCTGAAAATGAGTTTGTTTTAGCAATTGAATTTGAAGTAGCACAAACTTTACTAAAGGTTTAAGGTCAATTAGCAGCTTTGTTCAGGTTATTTAACAGTCCAGTTTAGTTTCTTTGATTCAAGTTTGGTTTAACAGGTTTGACAGTTCTGGTGTGAAATATTGAGTAGAAATGCAACATAATATACATAGATATGTTTTCATTAGTTTATAATCACCTGAAACTAATAATTGTGTTTTTGTTACCTTAAAATGAGCTGTTTTTATCTACAGTAGCCCAGAAAGGACAAACCAAACACTTGTTACATACAGGGTTTTTCACTGGTTCTTCCACGGCTCAGGGTTAACTAACGGTCCAGATTAGCAGCGAAGAGGTTTTTTATCAGATTATTTAATCGTCCAGTTCAGCAGAAAATCTTTAATCTGGTTAATCTAACATTTAACTTTAACAGCTAGAAAAGGTTTGACTCAAGTCGAGTTTAACAAATCTTTGGTTGTTTAACGGTTCTAATGGTTCTTGTGAGCAGACGGTTCAGTTCAGCAGTGAAGTATTACATTAAGAAAAGTCTGCAGCATTTAATAAAACCCTGTCCTGGATTCAGGTTTATAGTCTCAAGATGTGGAACAAAGAGGTAAAAACAGCTTCGTTCCAGCAGCTCTCAACAAACTGTAATAACATGACAGAGTTTCTATTGTTTTTACCCTTTTTATTCTAGTGGTTATTTATCTTAGTGGTTTTTTTTATTGATCTCTCTTTGTAAGTCCTGATTTTTTTAACCTGGAGCACTTTTATCTTTATCCTTTATCATGTTTGTATTTGTTGGGTACAAATAAAGTAACCTTGAACCTTTTAAAATATATTTAGTTGGGAGTAAATATGCAGACTAGCATATAAAGAGAAGAAAAACAATCATATCTCAAATCTTCTTTCCGGATAAAGACGATTGATTTAACTTTATTTCCGATAAACTCCATATAATGATTTAACTGTGAGGTTTTCCGGATATTCTGTCGAACACAGTTAACGTCTCCTTTGATAAACAGCAGAAAGGGAACACCGTGAGGGATGTGACACTGATAGTAAATCCTTTCTCACTTCCTCTTATCTTTCATGGTTTTTTCTTGTCTGTTCGGCTGTTTTCCGGCTCAGAGTGCTGATTGGAGGGATTTGTTGAGGTCGAGACAGCAGGCCGAGAGACATCCACGACCTCAGACTCAGGCCTCTCTCTCTCTCTCTCTTTTCGCTCCTTGATTCATGTTTTTCTCACTTTTTCATGAGTCAGCAATGAGTTACAGTGTGTGTGTGTGTGTGTGTGTGTGTGTGTGTTTGTAGGTATTATTATACAACGTTCAGAGATTACAATTATCATGGCGTCCTTCACATTGTGTTCAATTCATTTATCTGGTTCTTAATCCGCCTCAGACCTCATCACAAAAGTCAAAGAGTAAAATAAACACAATATCAGCCGGTGAGCAGCCCACAGGGACAGACTTTATCTCAAACTACTGATAAAACATTTAAATGATATGAAATAAACCTTGTACGGTCCAACAGTAAAACCTCTTTCTCTCATGTCAGTCTGCACTCTGCAAAACTGTCAACATTTTATCTCTTTTAAAGTAACAAGTTTACAAATTACAGCCAGGTTTTTGATTTCGTAAGTTTTTTTTAGCGCCACTACTTTGATACAGATCAGTGGTTCCCACCTGGGGGTCAGGACCCTCCACTAGGGGACGTCAAAGCTTCACAGCTTCAAATCATCTCTGATTGATATTTACAGGAAATATTCTTGTTTTTACAAATATTACATTCACAGGTTGTGTTCATATACATTGGTTTCAATCAGTAACTTCACCACTGGAAGACATTTCCCAGCAGCCTCAGCTGTACTTTGTGTTTACCGCTAATGTTAGCATGCTAAAACACTAAACTAAGATGGTGGGCTACAGGTAGGTGAACATGTGGTTTAGATTCGTTCGGATGTCTGTGCGTGTCGGCTCCTGTGAAAGCCTCTGTGACCTATAATTACCCAGAACACACCTCTTCTGCGTAGAGATTTATCTACAGAGAGGAATGAACAGGTTCAGTATCATCATATTAGATTTATAATTAAATTACATTTTATGTCTTTTCAAGACACTTTCTCTTTAAGCTTTAATATAATTTAACCAGGTGAGTTATATAAACATTCACCCTCTGTACAGTTGTCGTGAACGGGGATTGTAACTATAGAGACTGAAACAGTTATTTGTATGAAGCTGTAAACATGTTTATTTCTGCTGTAAAGTTTAATATAAGCATCAGCATATAAGCATTTTAATATGAGGCCTTATGGAGGTTGACTCACTGCTGGAGCCTCTAGTGGCCGTTTGAGGAACTGCAGACAGACTGATTTTAAAAGACACATATAAAGTCAATAACGGCACAAATTGCAGCAAAGAGGTGATCATGTGAGTTCAGAGAAATTAGCTGAGCAGAAAAGGTTGCTGGTTAAAATCTGTGTTTGAAAAATCTCCTGCTGAAGAGCCACTGAGCAAGGCAGTAAACCCCCAGAGTGCACTGCAGCAGTCCATTGTCTGCCTGCTTCCTGCTATTGTTCTTGCAGCAGCTTGCAGTTTGACCTCTGACCCCTCCCTCTGATCAGACTCACCACACCGCGTCTGTTCACGTGTTTGTCAAGTCCAAACCGAATTAAAACAGGAAAGAAACAGTTTTCACATTTGTTCCTTTTTATTCTGAGAAGCAGACGGGGAGTTTGTGTCAGCTGACGAGGAAATCTGTCCAAATCTCACCGCCCCGCTGGGACGACCAGGAGGGGAAATCCGCCTAAAACTTCCTGTCAGGAAGAGCGTTGGATTTCTCACAATCTCTCTCTCTCTTTCTCTCTCTTCTCAGACAGACCTTATAGCTGGAGGCCAGAGTATTATAAAGGTTTCTGCTATTATAATTATTTAGTGGTAGAGATTAAAGTGTTTTCTGTTTTATATCTTTATATCCAGTTTATTTGAATCACCCACATCAACAGTTCCTCAACAAAACCTTGAGCACGGAAAGAAGAAAAAAATCCTCAAGAGAGGAAAGACATCCTGTCCTCAGACAAACTGCAAGTTTAGTTAAAAACACAAACAATAATCCAGCAATTATTGCTCGAATTCAGGGTAATAAAACATTTACAATAAGCCAAAGAAAAAGGCCCAACTGATAGTTTGTATCTGACAGAAATACACCAATATGTGTTTATGTAGTCGTTCTCAAAGCAGTTTCAGAGCGATTAAAGCCAGAGGTCAGTGTGTTTTATAAGATTAATGTTGTTCCTCTGGCAGCCACAGGTTCTTATTTCTAACGACATTTTCTTAAAAGTCTTTTTCTTTTTGAGTCCGTTTGTTCCTGTAATAAACTTTATTTTTGTACCAGTGGCACCACACAGTACGTAATAGTGACAGTGTTTAACTGTGTTAATGTATAATGTATAATGTAAAATGTATTCAGACATTAATGTACCTACTTTAGTTACTTCATTATAAAGCTGTAATTGTATTAAATGATTTAATCTCCCACCAGTTTATGACTGTTTAGACCTTTAGAACATTCAGGCTCGGGGAGTAATAGATTACATTTAACTGAGTTACGTAATCAGGATACAAAATAAGGTATCTGTAATTTATTACAGTTACAGAAAAAATATGTGATGAGGTTATATTTAGTAAAAATGGGGATTATTTAGGATTTAGGATTTAGGATCAAAGGTTTTCTGTTCTGTTGTTTTATAGAATAACTACCAATACTTCTTATAGTTATTTATTTTTTGTTGTTTTTATTTACATATTCGGTGTGTCGAGGTAATCCAAAAATAACTATAATAACTCAACTCAAGTTAAGTTACTTTGATATTGCGATACTTGGATTAGGTTACTAATTAGTAATTGTATCATATTACATTTTTAAACTAACCCTCCCAACCCTGACAGCATTTGACCTTAAAGGGTCTAACTAATAATATTAATGATTAATGATTAATTAGCCAGTTCCCTGGTGTTGTGCATTGCTAACAGAAAACACAAGTGATGAAAATATTATGTTAAATTGATCAATTTCAGTGTTTATATAGTTTTATTTTTATGAGATTGTATTTTATTTGTTTTATTTGGTGTAAAATAGTTTATTGTTGTTTGTTAGCTTAGCTGAGGTGCTAGCAACACTTAAAGAAGCAGTACAGTTCTCCTTCAGGAAAACAGAGCAGAATTTTATTTTTCAAGTGGATGTAATACACTTCCATAAATTCATTATACATCCTGCTTTTATGCATTAAATTAGTGGTTCCCAGCCTCTGGGTTTGGACCCCCACTACGGGTCGCCAAAGCTTCACAGGGGGGTCAAGATGCTTTCTTGATTTTAAGGTGTGGAAGAAAACTTAAAAAATATACACAGTAGGCCTTTATCTCTGTATTTGGTTCACTTCTGTGAAGAAAGTAAATGTCTTATAGTCTAATAGAACAAGGGCAAGCGCCAGGGACAAGAAAACATTGATCTTTATCAAAAAGAAGTCTGTTAAGTCTGTATGATTGTTAATAAATTGTAAATAATAAGAATTGTATAAAAAGTTCCCTAAACCGGAAAAAATTCATAAAAATCATTCATTTTACACAAACTTCTTGCAGTCACTGAGTTCACAGTTTTGAGTTAATTGTTAATATAATATGAAATATTTACACAACATGTCAGGCAGTTTACTAAATGATAGAAAAGGGCTGCATTAGTATTACTATGATTTATAAAGTGTTCTCATGTCTGTCTCAGATGGTTGAATTTTAATAGCTTTAAGATTCCTGAAGACAGAAAACTTCCCAGTATTTCACAAGAAAGGAGCAAAGATTTGATAAAATAGCTGAAATTCCCACGTTGGGAACCAGTGGTCCTGAGGAAGGGGGTGTGCTTACTTCAGCTGCTGCAGTAAACTGATGTTACTACTGACACTATAAGCAACTGCTACTGTGCCAGCACCAATACTACTAACTGCTGCTATCACTAGAGGAGTAGTAGGAGGAGATGACCTCTGCTGGGAGGTTCCTACTTTGCCAGTTTCTGTTGTTGAATTTTTTTTTTTTTCTTCTTTCTCTTCCTAGACTAGAAAGGAAAAGACGTGACGCCAGCAGTAGCTCCAGCCTCTCCGGCTGCTTTCTGCCTTGCGGACACTGAGCTGAGAACTAATTTGTTTGCTGTAATTTGCTCGTTAGTTTCTACAATACAGGGATTGTTGCCTTCAGGCTGAAAGTGAGCTGATAAGAATACTGCAGTTAATCCTAACACTGCCTGGATCCACCCTGTAGTTGCTATTTTTAAAAAAAAAAGTACTTTATATTTTCCGTCTATTAACAGCAGGTTGCTTTTAGTTTGACTGCACCTATTCCTGCTGGAATAGAAGTGTATTGTTTTCTAATAGTTGTGTTTTTCCTGCACAGAGGATGTTATCTGTGTGTTTTTTCCTGTAGTTTGTAAAAGCACGTTGTGTCTGAGGTTCAGACGTTTTCCTCCCCTGCACACTGAGGAAGACGCTGGTTTGGTGGATTTATTTTCCCTCTCTGGATGTGACACTTCTGAGCCATGCTGCTTCTTCCTCTGCTGCTGCTGCTCTGCCTGCAAACTTCACTGCAACAACAGGTAACACACCTCCAACTCCACAACACCAAGACCACCTGTTCATTCTCTGTACAAGTGGATTGCTTTACTCTCTGATAAATGCAAATACACACACTGATTGTTTGTCTTCCAGAGTGATATTTGTGCTTGTTTATACACAATCTGATGTTATTTTTGTTCACTGAATGAATGAGAAGCTTTGGATTATGTGAACTCAGCCAAAGCTTTTGGAATAAAGAGAACATTTCGGGAGTGAACTTGTTTGTAGTACAATACTAGTAAAAGTACTAATACAGTCCTGATATACAGACCCTAACATACTGTAAAACTTAAATTAATAGCCCCGAGCTTTTATTTGCTTAAATCACCGAACTCAACCTGCCTTTATTAGGAACAGGCCTTTAATTCCTTTTACACAAAACCCTTTGTTGTCAACAAACATGTGAAATACTATCAAGTTGCTTATTTAAACCATAATGAATAATACTATTACTAGTCTATCAAATAACATATCAATTACAAATCATTGATTTGAGAGACAGCACATCGAGAGAGAGAGAGAGACAGAGAGAGAGAGAGACAGAGAGAGAGAGAGAGAGAGCGAGCTCCATATCTAAATACCTGTAGCCCACCTTAGTATTTTGTAGCCAGCAAGGTAACAAAAACCATCGGTGCAGGAAGAAGAGAAAGTTAGCCGACAGCTAGCAATGACTACACTCTGGTGTTCGTGGTTTCCATAAAATGAACTTAACGATTGAATTCTAACCGATCTAACAATCGTGTTCATATTAACAGAAACAGAAGTTTAAACATTTATATTTATGTAGGTGATTTGAGCAGCTTAAGTGGGCGACTCTGTTGGTTTTAAGAGAAAATCCAGACCAGGTGTGTAGTTGAATCCTAATTTAAGTTTTACAGTATATCTGTATGCTCACAGTGACAGTGCTGATGTTTAGCAGGTAATATTTAATCATTCAAGTCAATTCAAATTCAATTCAAATTAAATCAAATCATCAATCAATCTTGACCAGCATCTTGAGTTTATCCTGTTAGTGTGTATATTATTGTTTAATTAAAGCTGCGAGCAGCGATGAACGGGCCCTTTCAGCCTGCGAGTGTTGGGTTGTGCCGCTGCGTCATTGACGAAGGTCTTTCGAGACGTGTCTAAATTCTTGTTTTGGACACTGCAGAAGGAGTTAAATGTTACTTCTTGTGTCCAATATGTGGTGCTAGAGAGCGTCCACTTGTTATTTATAATGTTCCAGAATATCAAATGTAGATCACACCATGAAAAAAATGATGTTTGTCATACAAGGCTTACTTCAAATACCTCGAAAACCTTTAACAACCTTTTATCACAAAGGTCTTTAGATTGCACTGACCAGTTTAACTGATTAACTCTCTAGGAGGAGTTTGTTAGATTCAAAATGGCTGGCTTCCTGTCGGGTTTCAGGTATGGGTCCAAGAGGCCTCTTTGTGAGACTGTGTGAGTCATGTCAAGAGTTTTTGAGCACCTTCAGCTCCTCAAACCTTGATTAATTTGGAGTAATAACAATTCTTTGCATTACAATGGTCGTTGCTTGGGCCCTAATTAGTACAGAACACAAACCACAGCTGACATCAATAAGAACGTCTCATTTTCAGTGCTGTTTTGTTAGTGTTAAACTAGTTACGTGTTTACACAGAGACAGTTATCTCACCAGCACTGCTGCACACTGGGTTTTAGATTATACCGAAGTCCAAAACCTGAACTTGCCAGGGAGGTTTTGGGGCATCAAAGCATCAGTGTAGTTATTTTTATACAATTATTTCATGACTTTTATTGTCCACCCCTTGGAAAAAATACCAGTGGCCCCAGTACTGGGTGCGGTGTGTTCACCATAGATGGCGGTACTCAGAACTGGTGAGTACTTGCTCATTCAGGCACTGCCTGGCACAAGTGCAAGTCGGAGAAAAAGACAAAATTAGAATTTATCTTGTAGGTGTGAATATCTGATATTTCATTCTAATTCGTCAAATTTGCAAAATTTGTGCCAACCCATCAAACTGAAAACTAAAGGAAAAGTCAGGAGGTAGTGTGACTCACAGGAAGTCAGCGGTGGATATAAGCCTGCTGTTGACCTATTATTTCAGTCACAACCCTGCGTGTGTTACCGTTTCACAAGGACATCATCACTTCATCTGGGGCTTAACTCTGCCCAGAACAACTGTGATTGGCTAAAAGAAATAAAAACAAGCCAGAACGTTTTTCCCCTATAAGAGAATAATAATGGGTTCAACCAGCACTAAAGGAAGGTCTGACTATGTGAGACTAAAGGGTCACCAAATTCAGAGGGCTTCATCCTCTGGGGACCTCGAATGTGTATAAAAATATTATTTATTTAGTTACTTTCTCCGCTAAGTGAGCACTCGCTTTCTATCGAGCTCTGCAAACTAAAGTTTTCAAAACAGTAACAACTTGATATCAAATACCAAATACTTGATATTTTACCCCGAAAACCAGAAAGTGCTGAACCAATGTGAAAAAAAAGACCTTCTGCAGGTGTCAGGACTAAGCTAGACAAAGCTAATGCTGCTAGTGCTGTTAGTGAACTAATAGACAGCTGTCACAGATTATTCCACCTCCCTCCTTGAGTCTTCTTGTAGTAAAAGAAGAAATGGATGTTTCCTCCACTGCCTATCGCTCCAAGTAAACCCAGAGCTTCGATGAAGGTGATGAAGACACGAAGCAGCGCCAACTTTAAGCGAGCCAACTCAGATGACATAATTGCCTCTCTTTTATGCACTGATAAATACAAGGTCTGACAACATTGAGAGTGTGGTCAGTGCAAAGAGTAAGGGAGGAGGGGCGAGAGGACACATTTTAGTTTCAGTTGGAAAGATTCTCCAGGAGATGAAAACTCCGGCTTTATGAAGTTTGGAGAGGGAAGATTTGTGGCAAAAGGCAATCGATCTGTCAGACTGTCCTGCCAGAGCAGAAGAACAGGCTCGCTGACACCATCAACACCTTGCACCATCTCGCTGCCAAGCTGTTAAATGACACCGAGCCCGGAGGCCATTATTCTCAAGTTAACCTCACAAGTCTGCGGAGATGCTTCATGGAAAGCTAAAAGGCTTCCTGTGGGACAACAGATTAAGATTTGCAGAGGATCCTACAAAAGAGGATCCTACTAAAGAGGACAGGAACCGTTGAAACAGCCTACTTTGTCTGAGGTTGTGCATCTATCAACAGATCTGACGTCTCCTTCCCTTACTGATGATAATCATGTTCACTGGTTAACACAAATGGTGAAATCAGTTTAAGGATTCTGTGTTTTATCTGAACTATTTTATATCTATGTTTTAGTTTTCTGGATATACTGTAAACAGAGGAATTTATATACAGTAGGTCATTTCTGCTGCTAGGTGGTCTCTCACATCAAAACAATAACAAACGCTTAATGACACTGTGAAGCAGCGTGGGATCATGGGAGTTGTTGTTTTCACCACCTTTGCCGTCAACTTCTCCTGGTTAGGATTCCTTCAGTGTTCATGGGTTCAGGAGGTTTCTACTGGGAGCTGAATTATCTCCTCCTCTCCAAAACAATCAGACTCGCTGATTAAAAACCGGTAAAAACACTGAATAAAACAGTTTTTATTTATTTATTTATTTTTTTTAAATCTGCGACCCGAGCTGCTGCGAACATTAGCTCATCTTGAAAACAACCAAGATCTAAACAGTGTATCATAAAAATGTGTCTTAAAACAGGATAAAAACTAAAACTTCTGACGCATGCACAAAGGAGATATGACGCCACTGACAGGCGACCGGTGAAACGTCACCGTTACCTGAATAAAATGACTCTGAGTTTGAACACTGTTGGAAACATTTGGGATAATGTAAATACTCAACTACCTATAGAACATAAATCTAGTGTTTATAGACACAAGACCAGTGCTATTGTCTCTTTTTTTTAAGCATTTGGGGGGGGGGAAAGCGGCACTCCTTGTCCACCTTCCTCTTCCTAATAGTTTCTGTTTTGAGCCCTGATTGCCGTGTGAACCATTAATTGTACCTCTGTTTACTATCTCGCCATCACATTTTAGCTCGTAACTTATGGTGGAGGTATGCAGCCACTGTGTGCATGAATGTGACTAAGTAGCAGGTTGCTATTGAAACAAAATATTACTAAGATGCTCTAGAAAATGTAGGAAAAACTCAAAGGAAATTAAATCAGTGGTTGCAAAGAGGATGGCCCTTGAAAGATAGAGTCTTAATTACTCTCATACCTGTGTCTTCTTTCTTCATATGTTAACAGTAAAATCAGTAAAGCAGTTGACCACTTTATAACTTTATCTGTTACTGAATCTGTAGGACTTGATTTCCTGGATTTCCTAAACTACTAAAAACCTTTAATTTCTTCCTTAAAAGGCTTTTATTATTTGGGTTTTATGGATCTCCTTTATTCCCTCAGACTCCTCCTCCCGGTCGGTGTGATATCTTACAGAGGATAGACATCCACGCCACCTGCACTTCCTGGGCTGCCTGCCCCAGCAGCAGATGCCCCCGTGGCTTCAGCAGCGTACGCACGGCTAACTGCACGTACGTACCAGATCACAAACCCCACATGTAGTGTCTTTGTAGTGTCTTTGGCTGCATGTGATGGTGGTGTGGATGAAGTTCATGTTCACTGTGTGTTGCAGTTATGTGGTGCAGATTGGCGGCAGGGAGGTAGAACTGGATGGATGTCAGCACGTCTGTGTGAAGAGTTTCATGCAGCCAGTATGTTGCCCACAGCACTGGGGACCTCTGTGCCTCCGTAAGACACACACACACACACACACACACACACACTGATTCAACTTCTTTACTCGAGTGAAAGTGAAAAAGTTCAGGCTCTGAAATGTGCTCAAAGTATAAAAATACTGTCTTGACAAATGATAGCTGCAATACATTCAGTATTATAAGGAAGTGAGTAAGTTTATTAGCATTGATTGAGAGTTACTCTACAGGATCTATTGGCAGAAACTGAATATATGGCAGACATTTTGACTTTAGGCGAATGGGAATGCTCATAAAAGATTACTGGATACTGGACAACAATGTTTTTCAATTAAAATAAAATGAACTCTTGTATACAAATATTTTACTGCAGAAGTAGTTTAACTGAC